TGGTCACTGCTAAATAAGGCAGGGAAGACTCACGCAAAAAATTAAATTTGCAACCCTGATGTGGAAAGGAACAAAAGTGCTTGCAGAGTTAAAAGTATCTTCACATAAATCTGTTTCTAATCAAAGCTGAGAAATACTGCAAACCCAAAGACCGCCATTTGCCTTATATTACAAATCTGATGCACTAGCAAAGGCCTTGAATTGTTGCGATCTGGTTACATATCCATAAAATAGTCTTCTCTAAGGAGCCATTTCAGCTTCTTAAAAAAATATATATATAACATTTATTATAATTTAATTCTCCCTGACAACTAACAAGGGAAGTATTTTAATCTACATAGAAAACCATCCTCTTAAGAAGACACCTTAAGTTCTGTGCTCTGTTACTAGAAATAATTTCATTAAGGTTCAGGAATGATTTGAAAACTAATGCTGTTTTGATGTGTCCAATATATGATATAGTTGCTGGGTTTATCTACTGAATTAGTCCCTCTTGGTATATATTACGTTGGGAGCAATCTTCGGGAATGAGAGTGAAATTGAACCTTGTTTCATGTTTTGATTACCTGTATTATTATTACTTTCCTCCTGAAAGGCTTAAAAAAACAATTAAATTTTTCTTGGGAATAGGAGGAGAGCAAATGTTATTCTGCTGTGCAGACATACTAGTGTAAAAATAACACAAATGTTTCAAAGAAAACAAAGACTGCTGTACCCTTGGGAGGTTTGTCTTGTCAGAAGCCTATAGATTACGTTTGCTACATTAAAATCAAATAATATATATTTCAGTTGAGGGGATATTGAAAATAGAATTATATTTCTGTGTTCTATACATAAAACATCAGCAAATAATTCAGTGCTTGCTGAATTCAGTGGTTTCTTTCGGTAGGGATTTTGCCAGCATGTTTTGTAGCTTTGCAATTCTCTTGAGCAAAGTGATAAAGGTGATGAATGTCTATTTTGAATTAACTCCTGTTACAGTGAAGTGCTAGTTGATCCAAGCTCTTTCAGTCATGACAATTCAAATGTATCTCATTCTTTTTATAAAAATCTGGGCAATACCTTCTTGAAAAGCTACAACTGACAACAACTTCACCTCCCTGGAGAGAAAAGATGGATGGGAATCATTGAATTGATTTTTGAAATGTCATTGTCAGATTGCACTAGACAGTCTGCAATCACTCAACTGCAACGTTGCTCCCCAGTCTCTCTCCTGCTCTCACCACAAATTCCATCCAAGACTGGACCTTACCAAAACAGAAAAGACCTGGATTTTTTTTTTTTTTTACCGTTCTAATCTACTTATGAAATAGCTTTGACCATTACAAATAGAATGTGAATATTATACTTTTATGACAATATATTGAATCGTAAAATGTTTAAGTTAGAAGAGACCTGAAAGATCATCTTTATTTTATTTTCAGGAAACTTTGGCTACAGGGGGGTTACATTTGACATTTAGGTAGTAGGGAATCCTGCATTGCAACTGAACCCAATTTATGATGTGAAATAGATGCTCAATCAGTTTCAGCTCAATTTAATTGAATTGGAATATATTCTTTTGAGTCCAAGCTTAGAAAGCAACAAGATGATATCACTTTACGGATGCTTGCGATGGCACAGAAAGTCTCTGTTCAAGAAAAGAACTAACACTTCCTGAATTTTATTCGATGTGCCAAGCATTATGCTAAGTGTTTAAAATACATATTTTAAACAGTTCAGTCAGGTATATATTTTATCTTTTTTGTTTCTTCACATGAAGAAGCCAAGATTCAGGAAGATTAAATAACCTGGCCAAAGTAACCAAGCTAGCGAGTAAAAGAATTCCAACTGGGGACACTAACTCCAAAGCTTATTTGTTTTGTAACCACTATGCTGTAACCAAGTATTTTTATTGGCTAAGTCAAAGAATTGAAGCGTCCACAGAATAGTTCCAAGTAATGCATGTCATGAAATACAGATTTGTTGATACTGAGAATGTTGAACTGAAAAATGCAAAGACTGGTAGTTTAATTCAACTTCCAATTCTGGTGACTTGGCAAACTAAGCTAAATCAGAAAATCCCGTGTAGCAACTGCTTGGAGAATTGCATGAGTTTAGTTTTAACATGATATTCCGGAAGCATTTAACAAGAAATCACATGTATACATGTATGTGTGGTCACCAAAACACATGCACAGGAGAGATATAGCTACAGCAAAGATGGAAAACAAACTTTGGGGAAAATTAATTCTCAGTTGAAATGACAAAACACATGGAAAATATCCACCTTGAGTCAGAGCTCTCAGGCACAACAAATAGCAGGATTAATATTGGTGGGTGCCCCTCTCCTCTTTGTTCCCCAGCCCCCATCTTCCGCCTCTGATAGCCTCAATTCTGCATCAGATTTCAAGGGTTTATTTTGTTTAGTTTTGTCTATTCTGTTGTTTTGTTTCTTTGTATTTCACAAATGAGTGAAATCATCTGGTATTGTCTTTCTCCTTTCACTTATTTTGCTTTGCATAGTCCCCTTAGTTCCATTATCTTGTTGCAAATAGAAAGATTTTATCTTTTTTTAATAGCTGAGTAGTATACCATTTTGTATATATACCACATCTTAATCTACTCTTCTGTCCTCAGGCCTTAACTTGATATTATAACTTGGCTATTGTAAATAGTGCTGCAGTGAACACTGTTGGAAGGAATTTTTTGGCCACAGTCTGGACAGATTCTCTATTCTATGCCAAGTCAATTAAAGGATTATTTTTATAAGGCAATAAAGGAAAGACTCAGAAATTCAGGAAAACATCATTAGTCAAAATGGTTTTTCAACAAGTCCATTTATCCTCAACTCAAAATAACAACTAATCATCAGATATTATTGTTGTTTCAAAATATTATTTTCATTATCTCATAGCCTTCTGCTGTTGAGATTTGTCTCCTTTAGTCTTTTCTTACATACATCCATGCAGATCTGAAAGATACCTACTTCCACATCACCGTATTAGGAGTGACAAACCAGAAGAAGTTTGTGGTGAGACTCTGTGGACACAATTTAGCTATTTCTTCCTCCATCAGGACCACACATATCTTAGAAAATCCAACAGACCCAAAAGTAGCCACAGATTTTACAACTTCTTAATGAGTCAGGTAGAAATGGGAGGGAAGAAAATTCAAACCAATAGAAAGTAGGAAAGAAATCTAAGAGTAAATATTATTCAAAGAAAATACAAGGTAATGGCTAAGAAATAAATCCAAATGTACCATTCATCACAGTAAATGTCAGTGGGCTTTGCCAGTGCAAAGACAAATAGTCTCACTATTAAAAAAAAAAAAAAAGCCACTGTGTTTTATTTAGAGAAGTCATGCTGAAAACATAAGGTGACAAAAAAAAAAAGAATGAAAAAGATATACTAAGCAAATACTGTATACACATTATTATAGGGAATGATGCTAATGCCACTGCTGCATGCCTTCAAGTGGGCCATGGCCTAAGGCCGAGGGCCCTGTGTGGAATAGCTAGGAAAGACTAACTAGCACAGTTTCCTCATCAATTTTTCTGAACTATAAATACTTCTCAATTTGTATACAACACAAAGAGTAGAAATGGATTGCTTTATAATTCTTTTCTCAACTTACATTCTTGACATATGTTTAGCTCATTAATTTTCAACATTCGGACTTTCTGCCTTTGAATATGTATTTATTTATATGCTATAAACTTCCCTCTAAGTACAGCTACCTCTTAGAATTGATATGCAGTGTTTTCATTATAGTTACTTTAAAACATTCTAATTTCCTTTAAGATTCTTCTTTTGAAAAATGAGAATTTTAATTTTCAAATATTTGACTGTGGTTTTCACTGTTACATTTTACATTGTGACATAAATTACATATAGTGAAAGAAGCAAAATCCCTACTTCATGAATCATATTCCAGTGGGATGTGCTAGAGAATATACAAGCTATGAAAAATAAGATCGAAACCAGATTTCAGATCATGATGCATCTATAAAGTTGATAAACTCGAATGTGTAATAAATATGTGAAAAATACAGTTCTTGAGTAAAGTAACCTTGTAATGTATTGCAAACTCTAGTACCTCCTCTTAGAGCTTCACTATATATATTAACATGTAAGAGGGCATGAAAAGATGTCAAGAAACCTAGCTACTTCTTAAAAGTGTATCCCACTTTAAGAATCTAGCTACTTCTTAATGTTATTTAACCTAGCTACTTCTTAAAGTTATTTAAACCTAGCTACTTCTTAAAGTTATTTAACGGTATGTCCTTTTGTAATGTTGCACCATTGCATTTGACACTATTGGTGCCCTGCCCGAGTGCCCTTAAAACTCAAAAATTCTGACACATGTCTCTAATTGCAAGTAGTTGAAATCTTTCCCTTGATCATTGGTGAGAAGAAGACTAGAAGAGCTAAGAATTTAAGATCCCTTAATCATTGATGAATAAGAGAATAAATAACCTAGCTTCCTTGTTTCTTGGATGAGATAACTTTTGTGTGGAAAGCATCTTCTTTAGTAACACTCAGAATGTCCCACTGGGACCAAGTCCCAGTTGTGCACAGTGGAAACTACTTCATAACACAGATTTTCTTTCCTTTCTTGTCTCATTTCCCCTACCCTTTTCTGGTATCCCTGAGAACTCAATATAAGACACCAATTAAAAGCTTGAGTCTTGTGTTCTGGAAGGTACAGAGTTTGAGGGTTGGAGCCATAAAATGTTGGGCTACCATCGCCATTTCATTCTTTGTTTTTACCAGAGATTAGCATCATCTATTCATATCCGTGAGCTAAATAACTACAGGCCTGTCAAGATAATGTATTTTATCTCAGCAGAAACCTCATGGGTGTTACATTCTATTGTTGGAAAACCTGAAACATTCCTTTAAAGTCCTTTTATTTTAGGATAATTTAATTACAGAATATTGTATTTTTATAGACTATAGGTACTCAATACATGAAGAAGATTCTGATGCTCTCTGAAGAACATGTCATGAGTTGTGGTAGAAAGGAATGAAAAAAGTACACTAAATATTTACACTAAATATTTTCTTAAGAAATTACAACTGGTCAATTTTAGTTAAGTGCCCGAGTTTTAAATTCCTTAAAACGGAAGAAAAGGAATTTTTGGGATTGGCAGTCCACCCTCTATGTTTGAAATGCTACTTCTTCCAGCAGTTCTACAGAGCCCTATGTTTAACAACTTGCTACTTAACATTGCAAAACTTCTAGAAAACAAAAGATCCTTGAAGAAAGATTGTACATGTGCATGCATACACACATGTCTTTCTGTGTTTATGTTGGGATTTGTGCATTTCCTGTGTATGAAGTAAGGGGAGAAACAGAAATGGCAGTGTGGTATTTCATCCTGAAAAATGTACCCTTCTTCAGGACAGCACAGTCAAAAGTCACAGAGTGAGGAAGAGTCCTAGGAGCAATGCATGCTAGGATTGTTGCTTTTATAAACTCTGTTCAGCAGGTCAACACGTTCATTCATATCATGTGTAGTTCTTTTATTTTTTTCTTTTAAAGATCCACCTAAGAGATGTGGGGCCTGGAGCGCCTGCCTGGGCGGAGCAGCCTGCAGGCTGAGGAGGGAGCAGCCCTGGGGGCAGCGCTCAGGCGGGGAGCGGGGAGAGGCAGGGAATAATGAGGGGGCAGGACGCCCCCCCCACTCTCCCTGTGCGGGGGCAGCAGGGTTCGGACCCTGTGTGGTCGCGGGTGAACAATCCTCGCGTGTTTTCAGTTACGTGGGCACGAGTTGCTGTTTAACTGCTGTGGAAATTCTGTGTTCAAGGTGTCGTCGCAGATGCAGGGTGTTCGCCTCCGTTTAGTTTGATTTTCTGAGCTTCAGAGCAGCAGGATGGGCGGGGGCGCCCAGTGAGCACCCGGGGCTCTCCCACTGGCCCCAGCCCTGGGTCCCCCCCCCAAACACCCGCCCCTGCAGCCGCGCCCCCTGTGCCTGCTCCTGCCTCCCCAGCTGCTGGGGTCTCCTTGGCACTCGCTGCTCCAGACTTGGGGTGAAGCTCTTACCTGCGGGAACCCAGTTTCTTCAGAAACCACCCGGAGCAAGAGGGAGGCTCTTTCACCCAACAGTACGTGGTTGAGGCGATCCACAGGCTTGGCTGTGGCCAGAAGCTGGTGTTTTCACTGCATAGAGTATTCCATTCAATGCCAAGCGGAGAAAGAGCATCCAGATGCCTCCACGCCCCAGGGCCCCGCCTCACCTGGAGGTGCCCCTGCAGTGGGAACTAGTGTAGCCACGGTAGCCGCCTCCTCGTGCCCTATTGGACCTGCATGGAAAGAGCAGAGCCAGTGAAGCCCAAGCACAGAGGAGGCTCTTTCCTCAGTGACACCCCCCAGGGGAGTGCTGCACGGACTCAGATGCAACAAAGTGCAGATGGAAACCGGGAGGCCCTACTGAGTCGCCACTCACTGGCGGGTGAGCAATTCTCCAACTTGGAATCTCCGTTGTGAAAAGGGGCTCAGTAGAGGGGGACTTCCTACCATGGATGTCAGTTCCTGATAGCGCCAGTCAGCCCGAAGAGCTCCTGCATCGTCTGCGCCGTCCGGGTGCCCAGGGGCCACCAGCAGGGCCCTCACGGGATAGAGCCTAAGATGGGGAAGCAAGGCCCTGGGGTCCCAGCCTCTGGCCCTGGGGCCTCTGGAGGCTCAGCCCGCACAGCTCCACTCCCATCCCGGGCCCTGCATCTGCTCAGCTGCCCCAAGCCCTCCTCTACTCCCCTCCCCCCACCCCCCTGCTCTCCTCCAGGTGCTTCACCAGTTCCATAGCCCTCCCGGCCCTTCACCTGCTCTGCTCCTGGGACTGCTGTGCTTGTGGACATCTGTGCTCCACGCCTATGTTCTGCTGCTCCTGGCCCCTCTGGCTGGGCACAGCCCCTGGCCCCTCTCCAGGGCCTCGGCCTCCGCTGGTGTGTTCCTTTCACTATGGCCACTGAGTGGCTGTCCTGGAGCGGGGAATTAATTCCCCTGGAGCAGGGAAGTGAATAGGGAGGTGTTGTTGATTTAATCAGCAGGGTGAACTCTTTTGTTTTTGGTTCCAAAAGGAGAACAAAAAATACAACATTTCAAAATCCTAAGAAAGATACGATGAGCTCTGGCCTTGCAGCCTCTGCTGGATTGGGTGGAATGGGAATGGCCCAGTGTCTCTGCAGGGGGCACCGGTGGGCTGAATAGGAGGTGGCTTCTTGGTGGTGGTTGGGTGGTGCTGGAGAGCTGGGGGGCTGGGCTGGAGGTGTTCTTAATGTTTTCCTGGCCCCCCTCCAGCTGGGGGCCTAGTGAGGTGGTGCTGGGCGGCAGGGCTTCCTCCTGCAGGGGGCCTGGCAGTGATGTGGTGTTGGGCCCCCAGGCCTCCCGCAGCACGGGCCCTGACAGTGATGTGGTGTTGGGCCCCCAGGCCTCCCGCAGCACGGGCCCTGACCTGGAGGCCATGCTGGGCTTACATGCGTCCGGCAGCAGGGGTCCTGAGCCCGAGACATAGCTCTGCACGCCCGGGTCCTCCTGTGGGATGCCTGGCCCGGAGGTGGTGGTGGGCTTCTGGGAGTCCTGCTTGTGGGCCAGTCCCACCTGCAAGTTCTCGCGCCCTGAGACCTCAGGCTGCCGGTGGTCCTCTGGTATTGAGGCGCAGTGGGCCCCATCGGGACAGGGGAGCTTGGGAGAGATGGCGGGGTCCGGCCCTTCCTCGACCGGCCGCTGCCTGGCGAGCAGCATAAGGTAGGTTGCCATTATTGGGTCATACCTGCCCTCCGAAAGTGCCCTGTCTATGACTTCTTTACGATACCCGCGGCGGACCATGGCTTTTGTCGCGGCCTTGTGCTGGCCCGGGGACGGCTCGTGGCAGGTCGGGAGTCCGTTCGTCAGCCCCACCCAGGGGTGCTGGATGATGTCGTCCAGGGTGCTGCGGCTCTGGGGGTCAAGTGTCATCATGTTCTTAAGCAGGTCCCGGCAATCCTGGGAGAGGTAGCGCGGCTCCTGGTAGACGCCGCTCAGCACCCTGGTCCGCAGCTCCCCGAGGCTGGTGCCCTTGAAGGGCAGCTCCCCCGTTACCATGTTGTAGAGGACCACCCCCAGGCTCCAGACGTCCGCCGCGGGGCCACTGTACAACTTGTGTAGGAGGATCTCAGGCGCCATGAACTGCGGGCTGCCACAGGCAGTCTGGAGCAGCGCCGCCCCGGAGAACTGGGCGCTGAGCCCGAAGTCTGACAGTTTTAAGTTTTGGTGCTTGTCCAGGAGCAGGTTCTCCGGCTTCAGGTCTCGGTGCGCCACGCCCCGGGCGTGGCAGTGGCTGAGCGCAGCGAGCATCTGTTGGAAGAGGCGGCGCGCCTCCACCTCCCCCAGGCGCCCGCTCTTCAACAGGTGGTCCTGCAGGTCACCCCCATGCGCACGCTCCAGGACCAGCACCACCTCCTTCTCGGTGTCCACCACCTGAAACAGCTGGAGAACATTTGGGTGGCGAAGGACTTTCATGCAGGCCACCTCGCGGTCCAGGAACCTCTGAGGGATGCCAGACTTGGGGATGATCTTTATGGCCACCTCCGTGCCCGTCGGCAGGTGCCGCGCCAGCTTGACCTTGGCGTGGGCGCCCTCCCCCAGCCTGCCGAGCATCACGTATTTTCTGAGGGCCATTTCCTTGGCAGACGGGCGCATTGTGGCAGTGAGGGCGGACTGGCTCCTACGCTCGCGGGCCCTGGCTGTCTAGAGCCCTCGGCACTAGCTCCTCTTATCCGATTAACAAGTGTACTACTAGCCTAGAGCTAGTAGTACCTTAAAAAATCCCCCGAACTAACTAAATGCTACCCGCGCTGACTACTCTACTGAAACACTAAGGACGCTAACTTATCTCTACCCAAAATACTAACTATGCTAACCTAACTAAAATACTAATACTAACTTACTAAGTAACTACGCACTCGAAAACACACAACCAAAAAATTAACAAAGATAAATATAATAAATAAAACCAATATAATAAATATAATATAATAAATATAATATAATAAATATAATATAATAAATATAATATAATAAATATAATATAATAAATATAATAAATATAATAAAAAACCAATAACAAACTAACCACTAAAGTTAACAAGAACACAGACAAAACGAACAAACCACAAGGGAACAAACAACAATTACAAACTAACAACTAAAATAAAAAAAAAAAAACAGACAAACAACAAAGGGGAAAACAAAACACACACAAAAATAACAACACGAGGGAAAATGGGGGAAATCAAAAAAAAAAAGAAAAAATGAAAAACAAAAACAAATAAAAATTAAAAGAAAAAATAAGCAAATAATAAAACAATAAAGAAAAAAAACAAAAAAATAAAATAAAAATAAAATAACTAAAATAAAATAACTAAAATAAAATAACTAAAATAAAATAAATAAAATAAAATAACTAAAATAAAATAACTAAAATAAATAGCTAAAATAAACAACTGAATAAGAAATAAACAAACAAAGCAAAAGCAATCCAATCCACCAACTCGCGCTCTCTCTCCCTCCAAGTCCACCGTCACTATCCCAACACTCCTCGCTCTACCTACACCGCTGCGGGCCGCGCGGGGGGCTTAAATAGGCTCCACGGGTGACGTCACAGAGCTCTTTGTGGCGTCAGAGCAGAGGCCACGCCCCCGGCAGAGGGCACCCCGGGGGGCTTTTCAGCCTTCATGGGACAGCAACCGCCAAGAGGTGTGTTGACAGACTCCCTGGAGACTGGAAGCCACCCCGTTCCAGAAGCCCGCAGGGCGCTGGCGAGGCCGTGTCCTCTGTCGTGAGCTACCTACCTGTCCCAGGTTTTGGCTTTTAGGGTCTCTCCGCACAGTCCCCCTCAAACCCTGATGCGTCTCACATGGCACAACACATCCACGGGCACAATAAACGACACCATGTTGGGAGCATGAGACGCGACAGAGTCCCCTCTTCACACCCCGACACTGTAAACTCTCTGGGACATGGTTCCCCCCGTTTGGCCCACGAGCTGCGTGTGCCCCTCGGTGTCCTCGCAGGCAGGAGGCCGGGGCGGCTCCCAGGGCGGCAGATGCTGTAAAGCGGGCCCTGGAGGTGGTGTCTGCCCCGGCCCCCCGCGCTGTGGGGACACCCCCTGACCTGACTCAGCCGGGGCTGGGGGCAGCTGGGGCTGGTCAACTCCCCCCGAGATTTCTGGCTTGGAAATATCTGCGTCTGGGACTCCCGTTGGCGCAGCGGGTTGAGCGCAGCGCTGTGGAGCTGTCCGCACCTCTGCAGCACCGGGTCGATTCCCGGCCCTCCAGGGAGGCGAGCAGACCTCTCCTGTCTCGCCGGCTGCACCCCTCAGCAGTGTATTTCATCAGTCTGCCTGTTCTGCTCCCCACTCTGTCTCTGGTGAATCCTCTCACCCTCACACCTCTGGCCTGTACCCCAGTTCTTGTATAAATATATCTTTTTAAAAAAAAGACTATTAAAAAATAAATAAATAAAAAATAAAAATCCACCTATTTATTTATGCAAGCACTGGGTACAGTCAGAAGCGCGGAGGGTGAGAGAATTCACCAGAGCCAGAGCGGGGAACAGAACAGGCAGATGTACTGAAACACACTGCTGAGGGGAGCAGCGGGCGCGGCAGGAGAGGTCCCTTGTGCCATGTGGGACCCTCGCCCGTGGCCAGGGATCGAACTGGCTCTGCAGAGGCTTCGGGCAGCTTCTCAACCCAGCGCTCAACCACTGCACCACCAGGGGAGGCCCTCATGCATCGTTCTTCATATCAGGTGTATCAAGTTATTCATATCAGAGGGAAAGATAGAAGGAAGTGGGAAGTTGGCAGAAATTTCTAATGTGGGATCTGCATGTGTAGCCTTAATTTGTGTTTCTTGGTACACAGCAGTCTATAACTGGCTTGGACTATACACTCAGGAATCCATACAGATGAATGAAAGGTCACAGCTGGGCATCTATGAAGACATCTACCTGCTAAGAGTAAATGATTATAGCTGTAACCTCCCTACTGAAAGATCAATACCATGAGTATTTTATTACCTTAATGAGGCTTTAATCTGAAAATGGCACAGCAAGACTATGTTTCAAAGGAAACAAACAAAAAATCCTCTTTCTAGACACCTATAGAAGGATGTTATGTAGAATGAAGTAGGGTAATTGCCACTGCTTCTCTTATTTGGACCCCCTAAATACTGTGACTGGGTCTAATTCTCAATAATCCTGTAGAATAATTGTTTAGAGCTCAGAACCTGAAGCTAAACACATAGGGTCTCAATCCTGCACCCACAATTTATTGCTTGCTTTTCCTTAACAAGTGACTGTCTCTATGCCTAGTTTCTTTATCTGTATAAATGGGGAGTGAAAATAGTATTCACCTCTTGTAATTCTTCCAAGGGTTAGATGAGTTGAAATGTGTTAAATGTTTGCTGAGAGTGTGATTGGTAATATTGAATTGTTAGACCCCACTCTCCAAAATTTCCTTTAGCATCTATTCAACCTTCAAGTATGTGCTAAAGTGAAACAGCAAAATGAACTAATAAGAAATAAAGTGCTATCCAGCTTAATTTTTAATTGCTACTTTACCTCCAGGAAAGGGATTTGATATTTGTTTTTCTAAAATGTCCCAGAGGAAAAGTATGGTAGATCATATTATTGTTCCAAAATCTTGGATGCTTCTCCCAATGAGTAATTTACTTCCCTCCTCATCAGCTAAGCCATGTGATGTCTTTTTACTTCCCTCCTCAACAGCTAAGCCATGTGATGTCTCTTGGACAATACACAGTTAGCCAAAGTGATTTATGCAGTTTCCAAGTAGAAACTTTCAAGGTCATGGCATGGTGTGATGTATGTTTTTCCTGCTGCCATGAGACAACTTAGGAGTAGCTCCAACAACCTAGATCCACCAATGAATAAGACATGAATTAGAGTCACCTCTGATCTGCAGCTGATATGAAATGTGGGCAAGAAATAAGTCTTTGTGATGTAAGCCCCCTGAGATTTTGAAGTCATTTGTTACTACAGCATAACATATAAACTGACTGATACAAGGGGATTGAAAAGAGTGTGTGTTTGGGTAAAGGCAGAAACTGTCAATCTAGGGGAAAGAGAAATTGTTTAAGACTGGACAACAGTGTCTTTTAAGGGAACCACAGGTAATTCCTTCTACCATGGCATTTCTTTTCCTATATTAGAGGTCTGCCCTGAGAAAAACAAATAGTTTAAGGCATTTGAATGGAAAACATTTTAGGCAGTTGAGCTTCTACCCTTCCAAAGGTTCTCCCATAATCGAGGTACTGACCATGTTGAATAATCTGTAAGAGTGTATCACAAGGTCCACCATGCATCAAAAGCTGTTGAGGTTTCCCTAAAAGATCTGGACTGTGTAAGTCTCCAAGTCTAGGACACACCAAACCCTAACAGAATTGGGAACCTCAGGAATAACCGAGATTGACCTTCTCACCATCCTATCAGGATTAGAAATTTGAGTTAAGAGAATGAGTGAGTATGTTATAGTTTGTCTGCAATTGTGGTGGTCGTGGTTCATTCCTAACTTGATTCCAGAGACAGCACTTCTTTTTTAGGAGCTTCTTTTGAAAAACATGATATATTTCCTGACTATTGAAATGATAACTGAGTTAGGGATTATTATAGCATATTCTCCTTGGTGATGAGTTTCTTACATGGCAATTTATAACTTTTGATTAATATGCAATTATTGTTTCTTGATTGATATCTTTATCTCCTCCACTTTCTTTGGAATTTATTGAATTGTTCACCTTTCCCAGCCAAGAGAATTTCTTTTTAACTTTTCAACTTGCATTTCATACCCACCAGGTTCTTTTACTATTGAAATAATCCCCAAATCATTTATTCTGAAGAAAACATTAAACTATTTGCTGTGTATTCAAAGCTATTCCTGAAAAAAATAGGATGTTAATAGCCAAGTACCACCACAGGGTAATCACATTGACAAGAGCTAGTTACCACCAGCACAGGAATAAGCAATTATTTTTTCCATCTTTTATTTCTCTGACTTTATTTGACATACCTTTTGACCCTGCTCCACTAAAAGCCACTGTACCGTTTCTATAATTTTCCTTTATATCAAAATTCCTTTAATTTTTTTTTAATTCTACTGTTTTCCATTCTTTCACTTCTTAATTCCATTCTCATAAGGCTTTTACTTTTCACCCAACTCAAACTGCTCTAACCAAAAGTCACTCATGGTCTCCACATTGTTTACTAATAAACTCTCAACCCTCATCTAACTTGACCATTAGCATCACTTGATGTCTGATCACTCCCCCTGGAAACTCTTTTACTTCTCCTCATCTTTGCTCTTGGACTGCGGCAGAGCCCAGTCCTTGGATCTCTTCTGTTCTCTATGCTTTGCTTTTCTACCTTTTTGGTGACCTCATCCAGTGTTATAGATTCCTAGATAACCTAATTGTACTGATAACTTCAAAATACTTATTTTTAGCCTGCCTGGATTCTCCCTGGCTCCACACATAACCATGTTCTCTAGATCTTCTATAGATCTTGATCTTCTACACATCTCAGGCTTATCCAAAATCAGAATTCAGGTCTTTACCCATAAATTGCTACACCCATATTCTTTCCCATCTCAAAACTGGAGAAATCCTCCTTCCAGTTGCTCATACCTAGTATCTAAAATTCTCCCTTTAATTCCCCTGTTTTTTACCTACTATGCAATCCATCAGGAAATTCTGATGACAATCCAGTCACTTCTCATCACCTGCATGGTGGGCCAATTTACCAATCTTCATCTTTGGCTTAAGATATTAATGGTCTCCCTGCTTTCACTTTTGCACATTCCTATAGTCATTATGGTACACAACAGATGCTCACTAAATTACTTGTTGGATGAATTAATGAATGAATGAAGTTCAATACAGTGTATTAGTGGTCACAAGCCAGAACAAAAGCTTCCACTCTCTAGTTTGACTGACCTATACAGTAGTGAGGTGGGTCCCTGTGGTTTGGTCAAGCACCTG